CCCAAGGAGGACAAAAAGTCAAGATGGTGTCAATTTGATGTTATATTGACCAAATTTGTGGTAAATTTTGGGCAATATGGCATCAAATTGGCCAAAATTCGACACAAATTTGGTCAATATGACATCAAACTGACATCACCCTGACTTTTTCTTCTCCCTGGGGAGGTAGAAATTAGTCACGAAAACATGAGGATGACATCATTTTCCGATAATTTTTCTATGCATCATGGTGACGTCAAAATAGCCCGCCGAGAGCCACCTATTTGTGACGTCGTTAAAAGACGTCAAAATTCTGTGAAAATGATCTTGTTTTACACAGCAAAGTTAATTAAATATTATACATTAAAAAATAAATTGAATTAACGTAAGATAAACGTGATACATGATTGACCATGTAGTCTGCAATAATATATTATTATACACATCGCGAATATTATAAAACGGTCATTGCAAAGTAAAAATCCTGATGTCGATCATTTTGTGACGTAAAATTCGTCATTTCAACGTTTTTGTGATTAACTTGTGCCACTTGGGTTGCGACGTATCGATACGATTGGTATTTTTATTTGCAACACTCCCCACGCTGGTTTAGCGAGGGTGCACGCGAACGACAATTAACAGGCTACATTCTGCTTAACGCTCGGTTGATATCCCGGATGAACTTCCCATTCGCCCTCGCGATAAGCATTTCTTCACGCTTGCAGCAATATTGAGTGTAATATTTATTTCAGATATTATGAACTGCATTTTTGTTCCTTTGTCTCAGTGATATGAGATCAAGTTGCGCGGTTCAGTTAGCGGGACATTTGTTTAACGAGACACGCAGTTTACGTTAAGCGCCATGAGGCGTTTCAGTAAGTACTTTGTTAACATACGTTTACTGTTAATATAATAGTAGGTGCACTCATTTTTTTTACTCTTCCCTAAAATCTTTGGTAAACGCAATTTCATGCTTTTACCGTAACAACTGTGTATTTTGCAGACAGACGGTAGCGCATATCTCACTCGATAGCAATGAAATTATAAGCACCGATTGATTTGCAATTGTATCTAAATTATAGTCCAAGCGAGGGGTAAACCGCTGGGGGCAGATTCGCGGCGTTAAGGCCTGTGTCCGCGATGCTCGGTCCGAGTTCTAGTTCCGAGAAATGTACAGCTAGTCAACTAATAAGAATATTCTTCGATGTCGCCGGCAGTAATTGACAACGTCAGTGTTTTCTCAACCATATCTGGCATTTTTAATAATATACAGATTTATTGCGAAAATTATTACTTCAGCCAGGGTTTCAGCCTGGACCTCCCTACACTCTAGGCGGGCGTCTCACCAATTCGACCACTGAGGCATGTATACAGCTAATCAACTTGCAGCTATTCCATAAAAGCTGCAAGTCGATTGGCTATTCGTTTCTCGGGACTAGAACTTGGACCAAGTTCGAGCATCGTGGACACAGGCCTTTACTGGGCATTTTTTGGGGCATTAGGCCTTGCTGCGATAATATAAAGATAAAATAAAATAATAAGATGAAGTAACGCCCGCTGGGCATTAGTAGGCATTGGTGTACATACATGATTTTGGTCAGCGGTTTACCCCTCGATTCACCCTAGTAGCACAGCGCATTGGCTAAGCATTGGTCCAACGTTGATTATATTGGAAATGCATTGGCCGTGGAATAAATATAAATATTGCACGATAATATAATAATTACATATAATATTAGACTCAAGCCAACGGCACACGGTACTATTTTTCCTACTGAGGCTGCAGAGTTAAAACTCTGATTGGCTCTCGTAAGCAATCCAGTAGGAAAAATAGTATCGCGTGCCGTTGGCTTATACCCTGGCGAAAACAATATGTTTGTAAGAAGTTTGTTTAAATGTTGAGTCAACGTTTTATTCGAGATTAAAAGCATTTTTCGAATTGTCTGTGAGATGTGAACTTAAACATGGAGTTGTGTTATTGTCAGTAAAGAATTAACCAGGCGTTTGCAGCGTACTTCCAAACGGCGTAACCGTCAATAAAACTCTTCATAAACAATGCAACTATCGACAAAACTCTTCATAAATAAATATAAACATCATCTCTCACTTAAAATTTTCGCCAGGGTTATATTGGAAGTGCATTGGCCAATATTTAACAACGTAACAAAGGCCTGTGTCCACGATGCTAGAACTTGGTCCAAGTTCTAGCTCCGAGAAACGTGTAGCCAATCAACTTGCAGCTTTTATGGAACAGCTGCGAGTTGATTAGCTACACATTTCTTAAAACAAGAACTTGGACCAAGTTGTGGCATCGCGGACGCAGGCCTTAAGTGAGAATAGTGGTCTAATATTGATATTAAACCAATATTGCTAGATAGACCTGTTGGTTAAATAAGAGAAGGCGTTTATCTTACAATATTGGGAATACTAGATTTACACTATTTCCCAATATTGCGCTAATGTATTGCGCTACCAGGGCAAGCTTTAAACATTCTGCGTTGCAAATACATGTTTTCTTTATCATTTTACGCGCACATTCCACTAATTGAATCAGCCGTGTTTCATAATTTAATTAGGAAGTTACGATGACGCCTGATACTCGTCTGCGAAATTAACATTCATGATTATGAATCCATACGCAATAACGTCAATAACAATAGTATTTATCGCAATAGAAAGATTCTAGTTAATTCAAACGCCAGCTTTCTGTATTAATAATTGTAACATATTGTGTAGATTCTAGCTTAGTAAATAGGCTTCCTAAGGACTTGGTTGTTGATAAGATCGCCATGAGTAGGAACAACGAAAGTGGTATATCATTAGCGACGCCGCCAGCCATCCACGTTGGGCCTATCGTCACGCCGGGGTCCAACGAAACCATTTCCATCGTGATACCGTTATCAGCGCAGCTGACCACAATGGCTAGTCAGAAAGTCGAGAGTCAGAAAGTCAAGAGTTGCAAGGATTGCGGCAAGGACGCGAAACGACCAGTCCCGGCTGCCAATCCCACTCGGAGGTACGGGAAACAGTGAGATCTTCCAGAAATTCTTTCCCCACGAGTTCCTAAGATTCTCTCGATACGATCTGCGGATGAGACATGCATACATTGTCGAATCGGATAGAATTTTATTTCCGGCGCAAGGATATCTCGTTGACTCAGTGAGAGATTCTCAGTTTCTTAGCTAAAAATTATATCTTGTTAAATGTCAATTTTTTCTTTCAATTAACTAACGAGTGATTGCTACTGAACGATGTTGCGATATTTAAGAAGAAGAATTTAGGATCAGGGAACTCAAGTACATTCTTTCTTCTCCCAGCCCGAGGAACGACAGAACGAAAGGCTGTCCCTTTCCCACGTGCGCGCGATATGGTCGTGCGTTCTCCAGGGCGCACGACTTGAAGCGGCACATAGCCCGGCACACGATGCGCAAGGAAAAGCTGCAGCCAGCTGACCAGCAGAAAGTCGATATTGAAAACACGACGAGCGACGCGACTCTACAAGGCGCTCTTCTGCGCGGCACAGAGGACAAGGGCGGATATCCCTGCCCGCGATGTAAGAAGAGGTACAACGATGAGAATAAGCTGAAAGCTCATCTGGCATCACATGGCAAAGTACGTTTCGTTCGATATTTTCCTAATTTTTAAACTCTCGCATCTCGATCTCGGGGAGCACATCACTGGAACAATACATATAGAGGAGAGCCTTCTATTATCAGATAGGTTTCTAAGATGAGAAAGCAGGTTTTCACCGCCCAAATTCAAATCTTTTTTCGCAACGATTACGCAATATAACAATGAATTTGCCACTAAACAGATTTCGCTCCGAAGGCGATAAATTCATGGTGGAATCAACATATTAGGATTCTATCTCATAATGAAACTTTCTTCTATTACTTTTTGTACATGTTTGAAGTAGTAGAAAGAGAATTGAAATAAGTCACAATTTTGAGCGAGACATTAATTTTGTATAGCACATTTGTTATATGTTTCCCAATGTGCGTGTAAGTAATTGTGGTATTATTTGTTTAGACATCGTCAAAGAACAGCCACTCGAAACACGAGGAGCACAGAAATACTCTGCAGAATCAAGTGATGGCGAATAAGACTTCAGCAACGAAAAATTCGGCTGAGGACGACTTCCTTCTGGAGGAGATGCTGTTGTTGAAGAAGGATCCTCGAAGGGCAGATAAGAATGACTCGAAGATAAGGTGCGACTACTGTTCAAAGACTTTCAAAACAAAATGGACTCTGAGCTCACACGTGGCCGCCCACGAAGGCCGCTTTCAGTTTGATTGCGGTCAATGTGGTAAGAAATTCGTCAGAAAGAGCCACTACGAGGGTCATGTGCGCTCTCACGAAGCCGCCAGGCCGTACGCCTGCGAACAGTGCGGTAAAACGTTCAAAGAGCTCAAGCACCGTCGCGAACATACCAAGAGAAAGCATCCGAGTAATCAGAGCGCGATACAAAGTTTGTTAGATAGCATTGGACCCTGCGCGGCCGAAGAGACAAACATTGATCAGGCCAAATTCACATTATTAATGCCGGTAAATTTTGGCGCATAAGAATCGGAGAGGCCTTTGTCGTCTAGAAAGATTACTACGGATCCTTCATGTTCAACTAAGAGTTTGATTCCTTGAGAACTTTCGGATCGACGGGATCCAGATTTTTTTTAAACGTTGCATCCTTGGAACTTTGGGCCTTTGATATCCTGGCTCTTGGAACTTTGATTATTTAGAAGGACGAAACCCTTGAAACTTTTACTTGAAAACTCGGGTCCTTTGGATCCTTAGAATTTTGGTTGCTTGAGAAATGGGATCCTCAACAATTTGAATTTCTTGACAGTTAAAAATTTTAATTAGTTGGAATTTTACTTACTTTAAATGTAAGAAATTTTTTATATCTTTTATATTTAAATATTTAGTTCCTTCTTTTGGATTAGAATTTTTGAGGCCTTAATAAATCTATATATAATTTATGTTCTCATGATTCCAGTATCTCAATGACCAGAAAGTAATATGTCCAAGTAAACTTTTTCAAGTTGGATGACAAGAATTTAATTGACTTTAATAATTGACAAATCAAAACCATGTGAACATTATGCTGATTATATTCAATTTATTATTCTATACTTTACAAGAAATATATATATAAAAAAAATAAATCTTAAGCCAGAAAAGTTATCTTGTATATTTACTTTATTCCTTTACATCTGTATTTGTCGTAGATATAAGATTAAAAGACAAATGTAGAATTATACTAATCATCTTTTCACAGATTGTGAAAATAATATTAAGACGTTCCTACGAAAATTTCAAGAGACAATTAATTAAAGAAAAAGTAATTTAAGACTATTGATGCGGCAATGAGAATTTTACTAGGAAATTGTAAATAGATATAGAAATTTATATTAATACTTTTCAAGAGTTTTTGAAAAACAAATTTGTACTTGCATATTTTTGTATTATGCAGGAAGATGTATGTATTCTATTTCGATCACAGCTTCTCGCTTGTCTCCAGGCTGAAGCTATCGTCGCAGTAATAAAATTATGATATAGAACTCCGTTGTTTCGCGCAAATTAGAGAGTTCTCGTTTCTCTAAAGATTCATGCAAAATTTCTGAGAATTCCTGTCTCATAATCGAAAAAAATCCCACCGATCGTGATCGATATGCGAAAACGCACACGATCTTCATGATTGATCGTGATCGATTGTAATTGCTCGCGACTCGCGAGCGAAGAGCAAGATTGAGCCTAAAAGGAGCCAAATGGGCGCGAAACGCCGAAGAGTGTCATCACGATGCAGACAGAGCCCAGAAGGACGCAAGGAATGCACGTTGGATACTTTACCGCCGGAAATCCTCTGCATCATCCTGAAAATGCTACCGTTGCACAATGTAGCTCGCATCGTTCGTTTAGTCTCCAGGTAGATCCCTGCCGCTCTTGCATACAGAAAGGCTGTTTTAAAATTTGTGAGAGAATCCTACCAGAATCATCTGCGTTTACAATTATCTGAATATGTATAAACGAAAAACTAGTGTCGTGTGTTGTTTAATCATTGGACGTTTCGAAATCTCTCTTCTCTCTCTTTCTCAAGCTCTTTAGCTCTCTTTAGTCTAAAGATTTATATTCCCCACAAGTGTAGAATCCAAGCAATCCACTTTCTTATATCTTCCTTGTTCCTTCTTAAACAGACGTTGCTCTGACATAGCTGCCACGGTATTGAACAGTGAGTTTCTAGTGGCTGGCACCAAGCTCGAGATTGCAATAAAGCGTATGGAAGACCTCATGAGCAACGTAAAGACTGACACAGAATTACTAGAGTGCAACAAAATTTTCAACGCGCTGGAACTGATTCGGTCCCAATATCGGGTGCTGAAGGCAGTCACGTGGCGGTACACCCATCCAAGGTTTCTAAATTCCTCAGCATCAAATCTTCTCTAGCAGTAGCATAGTAACGATAAAAATATAAACATTGCACAGATATATGTTAGATTCTAACAAGATTATTGGATTAGTCTTATTTAAATCTGTCATCAGACTTGAACGCTTTACGAGATAGCAGGCTTTCAACTCCCAAATTCAATCACAAATCTGTTTTCGCAACGATTACACAAACTAACGGTGAATTTTTCACTAAACCAATTTCGCCCCAAGGGCAATAAATTCATGGTGGAATCAACAGATGCCTATTGATTTAACAGAAACCCCCGCTATCTCATAACAGGGGACTTTCCTCTACCTATTTGTATTTTCTGTAATGTCTGCGCTGAATGCCATATCTTCTCTAATATAATCTAAATATTTTTTTTTAAACGTCTGAAAGTTAACAATTTAAAATATATTTTACGTTTAACTAGCTATTAATTTTAAGAAAGATGTTAATATACTGTATATATGAAAAAAGGATCAATACTCCCTTGCTTATTTTATTCACGTTGAAAAGGTCGCGTTTACCCGTCTCGTGCTTCTACGGCGGTAGGATCCTCGATAATCTCAATTACCTGCTGCAGACGGCCTTTAATCCGTGTCGCGGATCGCATGCCTTCAGCTACAGCGATCTGCAGATCTTCACGCGCAGTTGCGAGAATTTCATGGACCACTTCGAGAGGACCACTGAGCGCAAACTAAATGAGTAACGCCTCTTTCCTATCGCCATCCCATCGGGATAACCGTGGAATTTTACGACCATTTATTACCGATCGCTTAATGAATCAAAAATCGTCAATAGATCTGCGCTGATCTCGGGATGTAAGATCGTCGACGTGCTGGACTGTTTGGAGGAGGGTCGGCAGGTGCTATCGTTCAGGATCTCGTCGAGAACAGACAACCCCATGGTAAAGGATCAGTATTCTTCAAGAGGACATTCGATAAACTCGAGATACGAGCTTTGAATGTCTAACGAAAATTGTTTAAAACTAACAAAAAAAAAGATGTCGCGTTATACACACAAGACTCACAAGTTCGTCTCTTCCAGGTCAGCATGCATCTCGAATACGTCCTAAGACGCACATGGTTCGCGTGCTTGCCGGTGCCTAATTCAAGCTACGAGTACTGCTGGCGGGACAAACAGCGATACATGTATCTGAGATTACGCCGACTGGTCAGCAGTTACAACAGACATCTGTTTCAAAAGTTGCACTACGAGCGCAAGCTCATTCTTCGCGCGATGGTTCGTAAAACTTAATGCAATTGCCGAACGGTTGTCCAGACAGCAAAGATCTGTCGAAAGCGAGAGACTTTACAGACTGTCAGAATATTTGTTGTTACACAGACAACGCCTATTAACTTGTCGAAAACTCGTTTAGTCGATACGCAATTAAAAAAAACGCATATTTTTTCCGCCAATTGAGATCTCTCGCATCTCCAGGTGCCACAGTTACCGTCTCGAAGACTGCCGCCGGCCTCCACGTATTCGGGATACGGCGAGTATGGGGGACAGTTCTTTTACTACGGTAACATGAGCAAGTACGCTTACGAGAATAGATTCAAGTACCCGAGGGCCAGTAATGCGGGGAACACAGGCGAGGGTCTTGAAGAGGAAACCAACAGGTCTTGCTTCGATCTAGTCATTGGAGTCCAATTAAGGCAATTCAACAAGAATTAAGATTACAGTAGTTGACAAAGTTGCGAAAACTTTCCAATTTCTCCCTGTGGACAGTTTATTTGCAAACTTTTTTTATCTTTCCTCAAGCTATCAAGCTGTCCCAAAGCTACTCGAAACGAAACTATTTCTATCAGGTTCTTGAGAGTAAAGTCTTCTCTCTCCTCGTGTAGCAAGATGAAATGTTTGAGATACTATTGCAACTTAACTCTTTTACGTTCGATGATATTATAATTTCCTTATGGTTTCTTTGTTCGCCATCTTCTCGGAAACCATTTTCTCGATTTAATTCAAACTGATATTTTTATAGTCTCTCGGGATTTATACAATATATTATCATCTTAGCACAACTGGGGATTGTGCAAATATTAACACACACCGATGGCCCCGATTTAAATTAATTTTCGATAGATATTTTTATGATAGCGAACAAAGAAACCAGGCTACAAACTCTCTCTCTTTATAATAATAGTATAGATAATCACCGTACACAATATTATGTAAAATAATACAGCAAAATTAGAGCTCAACGAGTGGCTTCTCGAGCGCCAATGAAAGTCGAATTTAATACAGAAACTGTTTATCAATCGTGATTTTATCGGTCACTTAGATGTTCGCCAGAACTGGCGCCGCTAGCAGCGAAAATGAATCTGAAAACTGACACTCTTGAAGGCTACAGTACGAACTCGCGTGAGGAATTGTACCTGAAATTGAGTACAAAATGCGCGGTGTCCAAGACCAACAGACTGCCGAATATCCTTACCTGGGAGGTGCGTGGCTCTCGGAAAAACCGTTTGCAATGTCGTTGAATTATATATATTCTTACATCTAATGTACAATAATATTAACCGATTAGATCCATTACTATTGTTGTATAACTGAAGACGAAATAAAACGGTCCGTACATTTTATTCAAACGCTCAAGTTCTCCAACCCCGCCGTCAATAATTTATAAAATAAAAATGGTAGAAAAACTTAATCGCACGGCAAAAATTTACGCAATTTCTCGCTTCTGACATAATCTAATAATATAAGAAAGTAGCCGCGGTTAAGGAATAGGAGCCTTAATCTACACAAACGTAAAAGAATGATACATTTAAAATCACACGACTGAAAGATGCATTTATTTACACGAGTACTTTTTTTAAATAGCAATCTGAGTGTCTTTAATTCGCGGACGCCGTTACACTGACCGCTTCGTCCTCCACTAGAGGCTGCCACATGGCAGTGTTCAATTTCTTGGCGCGTTTCTCCAGGATACCGTAGGCGAAATGATTAAGCAAAATACCTTTAGGCAGGGCGATGCCCTGGAAACGATACAGACCATCCACGTGTTCGCCCGTGAGTCTATGCACTGCCGACACAGTGACGCGTCCTACCAAGCCGCTGTTACCCACCATGGGGCCTTTGCTGATATCCACATGGTCTCCCAGACGATACAACGTTATCCTATCATTGTCGCTGTTCTTGGCGATATTGGGTATCTGCTGAGATTTGAAAGGATTGTCCTGAAAACAGAGATACGATCACACCCTTCGCAAGTAGTTCTGAAACGTAGTATTCGAGTTTTGTGCAACAACATTCGACAGTCCAATTTTATAAAACATCCTTTTCGAGTAATCCCGTGACACAATCGACCAGAATATTAACAAGTGTTAAAGAAATTAAATTCTCTTATAAAACCCTCAATTTTTCTAAAATGTTTCTGCATCTTCGAGTTACAGCAAATTTGTAGAAAAAGGTCTGTTCAATCTTGTAAATTTAGAATCGGACGTAACGTTATAGAAATAATTGTCCCAGCATTAACGTAAATGCACAAACGTGATACACGTAAGTTTCAAATTTACTTAAAAGCGTCGCACGTTTCGCCAATTGCCGATCTCATCCCGGACTCTACCTGAAACATGTCCAGCGCAACGCTGCACGGCACCGTCAATCTTTCCAGGAGCAGCTCGCGATTCGACAGTTTGACAAACAGCGCGGACATGGCGCGCAATTCGGAGTCGGTCGGCCGCCAGTCCGGACGATCGACGAACACGTCGTAGATGAAGCTGCCGGAGTGGATCATCGGTACGGGGAAGCTGTGCAAGTGCACGCTTACGTCGTCCTTGAACGCGCTGTCCGCCACGGCGCCCAGGATCAACGAGCAAGTCCGCCAGAAGGCGGGGTTGACCGCGCGTATCGACGGGCTCTGCATAGTCACCATCCGCAGCTCGCAGTCGTCCGTCAACGGCCTGTGCATGTCCCAGGCCTGGCCGTTCACCATCGCGAGGGCGGACATCTTGGCGACGCCCTCGGAGATGTGTCTGGCGCAGTCGTACGGCGTAGAGATGCCCCGATTCATCGCCATCACAACCTCGTCCTCCAGCGACCTGTACTTCACCTCTATCTTCCCGATCCTGCCCAGCTCCGATCGTTGCCGTCGCTTCTCCTGGTCGAAGAGCTGGCTCCTCAGCTTCCTCGCCTCCGCCTTGGACAGCGTACCGGCGTACCTTGTAAAGGCCACCTGTGCAGGTAGCCTCAGGCCACTTGCACAGAATCTCTTGCACCTGCACGATAAATACAGGACTTGTTTTCTATTGCTGCACTGGTAAAGTAGTGTCTTATACTCTTAAGACAGCCTTAAGGCAGTGTTTTATGTTTTAAGCCTTTGTCTTGAGGCAACGCACAATAACTGTCTTGTGTCTTAAAAGCACAAGACAGCCATTCTGCTCGGGCCCTAACGCACAATAAGGCTGATGGCAGAGAACAATCCGTAAACGCTTAAGACTGTCCCAGTCGTAGGGCAAGGCAGAGAGAAACTTAAGTCGTATACAATAGCCTTTCACGATTGAGACAGTCTTAAGCGTTTACGGATTGTTCTCTGCCATCAGCCTGTCTGGTGACTTAAGAATACAAGACAGCTATTCTGCTCAGGCCCTTGCGGACTCCACTGCCAAGACAAAAGCCAAATGCGGACACAGAGGGCTATGGTTTCGACGAGTCTGCTGCCAACCCGCTAACATTTTGCTGACTGGGTTACTTCGAGACCAAGATTTAAAACGTAAAGATGCAAGATGTTTGTTATTTATTAAAATCTCTTCTAGCGCGACTGCGAATACTGGGATATTTCCAGTTAAAAATTGAGACGTCGGGGAGATTACTAGATTATCTGAAACGTTCGTAATAAAATTGAACAAGAGCACGATACCCGTGGAACATGTTGAGGTTAGGACCGCAGGTTGGACTCGCGTGGACCTCGGGCAGCCTGACGTGCGCGTTCGCTTATTTGGAAACCATTTAAACGATCCCGTTGACGCGCGCGACAGTGACCGCAGCGTGTTCTTCAATTGAAGTCCCAACTTCTAGAGATTATAATTGCCAGACAACAAAACGTGCGTCCGCACCTCCGGCGGGTACAAAAGCCACGGACATGTGACTACCTAGACCTGCTAGACCGCTCACGTCGCCGCCATTTCTGACGCCGCGGGAGACAAAATAGGGGGACGTCGCGAGATCCCAGGAGAAAAACAACCTCGCGTGTTTGTCACATCTATGGCGGCGATTAAAGGGGCACTGGCGGTATTTTTTTTACGCCGTGTATTGTCCTTGGCGAGAGGAGGCAGGCGCCACGGGGGCCGTCAACGAACGGGAAGACGCGACAGTTTTAATTTTGTACACGCAGCGGCGGCTCTGAAGGAGGAAGAGATGAAGTGGAGGCAAAGTACGTAAACGAACGTACGTCCGTTCGTTATTAATTATTACCCGGATAGCCGGTATGCTCAAGCGATGCACGGAAACGAGATGCCAGCTAGCCTGGCACCACCTGGCACTTGGCTAGGAGTATGAGTTCAATGTTTCAGTGATTCAAGCCACAGCTAGCATAATCCCGTGAGCAAAACGACGGCAGATTGTAGGCAGACCTGGCAACGGATTTCATCAGAACATTTCAGCAGATTGGTGGCAAAAACTGTGCAGGATCCGCCGTTTAATGTATACTTTTTACCATTTCTGTTCCTTTCGTTACGAAGGTCAAAGTAAGTGGTCCTTTGAGATCTCTACGCACTCGTAGACAGGAGCGCAAGACAGCTCGTTTCAGCACTTCAAAAAGATGTCCAAGGAATCTCATCGTGAGATGTGTCAGTAGTCCTTTAAGATCTCTACGCACTCGTAGACAAGAGCGCAAGACAGCTCGTTTCAGCACTTCAAAGAGATGCCCAAGGAATCTCATGTGGATGTGTCGATTTATATTACCGCGCGCGGTTTTCTTCTTACGAGAAAGTGTCGTACCGCGTGTCCATCTAGTTCGGGAACGTTACGCTACTAAACGACAGAGTTTGGCTCCGTTTCGTTACCAATCTGCCGAGAAATTGTGTCGGCAGACTCGGCTCGGTTTGTTGCGCGAACAGGATCTGCTCAATTTTTGCCGCCAATCCGCTGTCTAAACACGTTATCGAGCTTTGTTATATTCCTGTTGATGTTCTGCCAACGTCATGTGATATATCAGATCTGTAGTCCTTCTGTCGACAACATTTGGAAACAGAGTTTCCTGAAATCTGTTCTCTGCAGGCTTGGCTGTCCGGGTAATGTTAGCGTATTATCGTAGTTAGGTGCACAGCTAAAGACAGAACGCATCGAACGGGCATACTGTCAGGAAACGAGCTTAGAGTCTGTAAAACATTCTGCTGTCGACAGATTATCGGCAGAAGCCGAGAAGGTCCAGTTGTGCTAACAGATTTTGCTGTATTTCTGCCGACGCGCTGGCAATAAGTCGAATATATCAGTTCCCGTATGCAATCCGCAGTTCTTTCTGCCTTGGTCTAACAACTGTATCTCTGTTTCAGATTTATTTAGGCAAGGATTATGAGTCCTGAATGTATATATGGCGCGGAGAAACGAGGTATGATATTCCTCAAGGAATTCGGAAGGTGCGCCGCGACGAGCGAGAAGTGTCCAAACTGCGGGCAGCTGACGAACACGTCGTTTTCGAGGCTCGTGAAAGACAGCTGTGGCCACGCAAAGTGCCGAATGTGCCTGCTGTACGAGGAGCATGGGTGTAAAGTCTGCCAAGCTAAGCGCTGCGTTCAAAGAAAAGATGTTAAGGATTATTCAGGTAAATAGCTTTCGAGTTTCGTCCTTATCTACATTCTTCACCAATTCGAACTTGAATAATTGTATTCCTCTTGCGATAAAAATTATGTCGACGCAGGGGAGCCACGCATCACGAACGGGGAGCTGAATGACGCGCGAAAGTCGCCGAGCGAAGAGATTGTGCTGCCGTTAGAATTGGTCATCAACAAGGATTCCAAATCCAAGGAAAATCGCTCGGACTCGAGCCCTGCTAAGTGCGGATCGTCGAAGGCCTATGAGAATGCCGCTTTTGACACCAACGAGGAGACCTATGGATCCGCGACGAACGACGCGGCCGCTAATGACGATTCCAGCAAAGTGTACATTCCAAGGATAGAGCCTTACAACGTAGCGTTGAACATTGAAAACCACTTGAGGAATGACAATGATCGAGACTCGAAGAATCCGCAGAAGCCACGTGTAAAAAATGTAGATACCGATCTAATTTTTTTAGTAGGGAGGAAAGTCCTCTATCATGAGATAGGCTTCTAATACGAGATAGCAGGTTTTCAACATCGAAATTTAATCACAAATCTTAATATTCCCTACGATTACACGATCTAACAATAAATTTTCCACCAAACAGATTTCACCTCCAAGGGCAATAAATTAACGATGAAACCAATGGACGATGCCTATTAATTTAGTGAAAACCCTGCTATCTTACAATATATTAGGAGCTCATCTCATAATACGGGACTTTCCTTTATACTTAAAATTACACATTTCATTATTATATTGCTACAAAGATCATAAGTTACCAGTGTTGCATAAATTGAAAATTGGACTGGAAAATTATTTGTGAAACAAAATGACAATTGTTCGCTACGCAAACCGGATGGAGTATACATTTGTGTCCCTTTACAGGACGACCAGGCAAAGGCGGGAGTCAACGAGGAGGTCGTGGAGAAGAGCAAAAACGTCAAATGTCGTAATCGTAGTCATATAACGATAGTGCCGGGCGTCCCGGAAAAGTACAAGTGCAATGTGTGCGGTAAGGTCTTCCGTAACAAAAAGGGCAAGTGCTATCACGACGCCTGTGTAACAGGCATCAGGCCCTACCAGTGTACCCTTTGCGACAAGAGCTTCGTCAAACGTTCTCACTTCGAATATCACGAGAGAGTTCATAGAGGGTATAAACCGTACAAATGCAACCTCTGTGAGAAGGCTTTTCCACAGCAGAATAAGCTCAATAGACACATGTTTTCTCACAGCAGTAAGTGCGTTTTAGAGTTATCCAATTATAGCAGAGGAAAGTCCTCTATTGTGAGATAGGTTTCTTATACGAGGTAACAGGTTTTCAACACCCAAATTCAATTACAAATCTTTCCGCAATGATTACACGATCTAACAATGAATTTTCCACCAAACAGATTTCGCTCCGAGGGCAGTAAATTCACGGTGGAATCAACTGACGATGCCTATTAATTTAACGGAAACCCCGCTATCCCATATTAGAATCCTAGCTCATAATAGGGGACTTTCCTCTATCAATATTAACGAATTAATATATAATCGATATAGGAGTCAGTGTTATTGAGAAAGAATAATGTACATGTGCATTATGCAACATGATTCACATGATCGTTCTTGAACTATTATCTTGAATAATTATTTTTTCGAAAAATTAATTTTATAGATGTAGTTTGCGGGTAAACGAGGATAGAAACGCATTTCCTTTAAGTGAATTTTTCAGATAAAAGTGTTAGTCTTTTTTCAAACCAAACTCTATTTTTTGTGTGTGTATATAAATTCTTGTAAATTATCATAGCTTTGCAAGGAATGTGATGTCAAGTGGAAAAATTTAACAAAATCATTCAAAGTGTAATACCTAAAATATGTTCGAACTATTGGTTTTCAGACATTTATTACGGAGGATAAATGAAAGCTGAACGTTATCAATGATCTCACCCCTAAATAAAATTCCTAAAGTTTAAAACTATAATTATTCAAGGTAATACTTCAGATGATAATAATTGATGGACAACCCTATATATTTACATAACTGTAATTGCATATTTTAGAGGAGAAACAGTTTGTGTGTCCCGAATGCAATAAACGGTATAGCAAGAGGGATGATTTAAAGAATCACCTGAACGTGCACAACGCGACGGCTATATATAAGTGCAAGTCCTGTGACAAGTCCTTCCGCGTATTAACTAATCTGAAACGCCATATGCAAACGCATACAAGTAAGTATTGGGAAGATCTTATCTCTTTGCGTGAATTCCATGCAAGTTGGGTTTAAACAGAAATTGTGAATTTACAATGAAATTATTTATCTTTCAAAAGAGTCCGCGAGTGAATAACGAACGAATGATTGTTACCGCAGGCGAGCGGCCGCACAGGTGCGATCAGTGCGACAAGAGCTTCAAAGACAGATCTTTGTTGATACGGCACAAACGGACTCACGGGAAAGACAGGCCGTTCTCTTGCGCTCATTGCAACAAGGTTTTCCTGTCGAAGAGCGAATTACGACGACACTTAACTGTGCACTCAGGTGCGTCAAATACGTTGTTTTCGCGCGATGGTAAAGTCTCGAATTTGTAAGTTTCGATTGCTTTCTCCAGACGAGAAGCCGTTTTCCTGCGAGTATTGCCAGACGCTGTTTCGACGTAAGGACAATCTGAATCGCCACATCAGGCACCATCATACTGAGGACTTGAGTTGCGAGGTGCGCAAAACGTCAGTCGTCGAAGCGGACCAAGCCTGCTCGGCGAAGAGTAGCCTGCAACGACCGAGGCAGAAGTCGAAGAGGCCACAGCCAAAGAGCACCGGCAAGGTCGCCGTGACGTTCGCGAGCTCTCGTGATCAGATTAACTCGCGGCTCGACTCCATGGGCAATATCACGCCTGTGATAAGAGCCACCAGCGAAGTGAGTAACGCGGTGCCGGTGATCAACGGGCCCATCAATATCAGGCGACTAGAGGACAAAACCGACAGGAAGATATTCACGTATACAGAGCCGATTCCGGTCGCCGAGGCAGTCGAGCTTAACTGTCGGATTGAGGAGAAGTTGTATCCGCAAAGTGCCAGCAGCCACAATTACTTTGTGCGTAGTTACCTTAAGGACAGGAACTCCAAGGTGAATTCGTATTCCAACAATAAGCCAGCGTCGCAAGAAAATGACAATTTTACTACGGCCGCATCCTCGCAACCTGGACTTCCTCCAAGAGCGACAGTGGATCGGAGGGATCTCACAACTGATGTCTACAAGGAGAGACTCGTGAGATGCGAAGAGGAGAAGAGCAACCAGAATGGGGACGAGAATGAAAGGAATCGTGAAAGAAGAAATTTCAGTGATCCTGACACCGTTTCTTTCCAAGAATCTAATTGTGTCTCTACCATAAAGAAGCATACTACACAGCAGTCAGAAGGATGTTCGAACGAAAATTCAGCGAACAGCAATTTGGATACAACGAATCACACGACACTGCTAAAAGATTCTCAGAACTGCTGCGAAAAGAAGCAAAGCGACATGCACTGGAGACGCAGAATCGCGGAGACGCTGAAGCCATGCTGATCTCACGCAAATCAACTTCTCCGAGTGCTACAATCAGAACTGGAGCAAACTCGACGGCAAACGTACGAGATACGCGGCGAAAAAACAGATGGAACTTGCAGTAAATTTTTCTCTCTTGTAGCAAATTTTATATGAAATATTTCTAATGAAATTACGACTGAAACAAGTTTGCATCTTTTTCACTTTTTTAAATATAAATTATATTGACTTAAATTATCGTAATATATGTATATACATAGATACGGTTTACAATTTTTACTGGAATTGCAAAGACTGATTAAGAAAAACTGTAACTAATTGTGTAGCGCTTGATACAATCACTGAAAATTGAATGAGAGAAATAAAATCTGAAATTCTAAAAAATGTGGATGCAATTAAAAATAATGTATTAACAATTTATTGGTCATCCTCTTTCTTGCTAATTCTTAAAGTCAGTTTACTTTATAGAGGCAAATTTAGCATATCGTTTATAATTATTAATGGTGGTTTATTTACAATAATTAAACTACTTTCATAATAATTGCACCGCGAATTAAATTATCTCTTCATCAGCCTTATATTAACATTTAATTAATTAGAAAAAAGAACATACTAATTATTAACATATCGTTAATTTAACGAGATTTATTCTTGTCTCTTAACACTATTGATTTCGGACGTTGCAGAGAAGATTTTATAAAATGAGAATGCGCAAGATAAGAAAACTTTTGACGAACAAAGTTCTAATTATATATGCAAACGAATATTAATAACACTTTTAAAGATATACGTTATAAACTCGTCCCTTTTGCAGTTTTTCTCGTTACTTTTTTTATTTATAAGTTCTTGTATAGAAAAATATAACAATACAAAAAATCACCAATGATCAACGAGAAACCTCGAGCGTGTCGAATACCGCGTTTTTGGTTGATTTTGTAAAACAAGTATTAGAGACTTAATAGCTTACTTTTTAAATCATTGATTTATAGAACTTAAAGAAAGTTAGAGGGACGAAATAATTGGAGTAAACTGAAGAATTCGCGGATCTAAGGATCTATTCGTAGTCCTCTTCATCGGGTCGGACTTGAACTTGAGGGAACCGTCTGAGAACGTGGTGCTGTTGCTGCTGCGGCCGTCTGTGCTGAAGGGGAATGTTGACTTCCTCGGGGCTGCGGAATACCTGATTCACCGGGAAACGATACTGCGGAAGTCCTGTGGGCTGCGGACGGGCCGACGTGGGAATGCTGTTCAAATTTGGCTGCGGACTCACAAGGATCTGTACAAGACCTAATCGTTAACGTATCAATATACGGTCGATCGAAAGAGAATCGTATAAACTTATCTCACACTCGGCATCAGTAAGTAGAAGCAGCGAACAAGATTTTCGTTTCGTGAGTGACATGAAAGCTCTAGTACAGTTCAAAAGTTATAGAATCGCAGAATTCCAAGTCTCAAAGTTTTGCAACTTTACAAATTGAAAATTTCGAAACATTTTGTCATTTAAAAAAAATGTATTGCAAGATTTCAAACGAAAGGGAAAAAAATGCAAATTTCTCCCGAATTGTAAAAATTTAACATTACAAGGTACTAATTGTAAATTACGAAGAAATTTCGAAACATTTTGTCGTTTCAACAGAAATGTTAATGCAAGATTTCAAACAAAAGGAAAAAAAATTACAAATTTCTCCCGAATCGTAAAAATTTAACATTACAAGGCACGAATTGTAAATTATGAAGAAAGTTCGAAACTTTAAATTTGACTTTTAATCGTACACTCTACCAAAGTGTGTAGAATTGTAAAAGTTCCTCGACAGGATGGAGTCGACTAAAATCTCACATTCTAAAGTCACGCTGCTTCTAATTCACAACTTGTAATTATGATCATGGGAGTTAATCGTCATGGTTCAAGGATGATGATCACACCTGCGGGGCAGGACGACGCACGGGGGCGGGCGTAGGAGTGATCTGATAATCGTCGGCCTCCCTCTCGTCCGTGTAGATATCAGAGGGGTAATACCTCTCGCTGTATCTTAACGTGACGTTGGGCTTGGTCTCGGCTTCTTGAAGGTTCAACGGCTTATACAAATACTCGTTGACGAAATGGTACTGCGAGCTCTTCTTGCAGCTGATGTCGCCGCTGGGTGGCATGCAGATTAGATGTACCTGATACAACGACAAAAATTTAAATATATTTTGCCCTCGTTACAATTAAACAAGCAATTGTTGTGCAGACGAATATTTTTCTTCGCAAACCAAATTTAACTGTAACATACCAATCGATAACAGACCACTTCGTTGATCAGAATTGAAGATAAAATTATACTATAAGAGATGAAGTGGAGAAGGCAATAGCTGGTTACTTCACCGACCTGGTGGAAAGTGAAGCCCTCGGGGCAGATCCACGAGTGCTTGGCGTTGTCCTGACAATAGTGGAAGACCTCGCAGTTGAGGTCCTCGTCAGCGTAGTAGCCAGTCTGCTTGTTGACGCAATCGAATCTGCTCTGGGGTAGAAGAAGGCTGAGACGATCGGGCTCCTCCTTCTCCTCTTCGAGTTCCTCCTGGGTGGGTCCATTGGGGCCGAACTGCTGGGGCTGTCCGCCCCGAGCGGAAGCGCGCGGTGCAGAACCAACGCGGATGGCTTGGGTGTAATCGCGGGTGTCTATCGGCGATGCCGTTGGCTTGCGATATAACTGTGGAGCATTTTTAATATAACATTCGCAAATCCACAGAGCTGCTTGCCGAGCCGATCTATCGGTCCGTACACATGTTCCCTATTAACTCCTAAACCGTTTAATGGACCAAATTTTGCATAGTTCTCTAGGACCCTGCGGAAAATATCGCCTACCGTGCAACCTGGGCACCTTGAGCCTCGCCTCCTGATTTTATCCCCTTTAGGATCTATCCAGGCAAACTTGCATAGGTGCAAAAGTATAGAGGAAAGTGTCCTGTATTATGAGATACGATTCTATTGTAATATAAGATAGTAGGTTTTCAACGTCCAAATTCAATCACAAATCTTTTTTTCGCAACGATCACACGATCTAACGATGAATTTTCCACTAAACAGATTTTACTCCAAGGGCCATAAATTCACGGTGGAACCAACAGATGATGCCTGTTAATTTAGCAGAAACTCCCCTATCTCATAATAGGAGACTTTTCTCGTTGCATAAAGAAATTGATTGGTTCATTTCCTTGGGCATATGTTTATGCGCTATGCAGGTGTTGTCTAGATAGACCCTTACACCTTGTTATAATTTAAGTTTGGTACGTTATTATATAAGTAAGCGTTGCGCAATGTGAAGTATATATGTGAGCATTGCGTAATGATTAGCGAAGGCGTCAGTTGAATTTTAAAACAAGAAACCCGGATAACGCCCGGATAAAAGCTGGTAATTTGAGACAAGAATAAAACAGAAAACGACTGGCGTAGACAAGCGTATGTGATTTAACAACTGACCGGTTGTTGATTAGGACTCCTGTAGATTGGCGTCGGCGACGGCGTGGGCGTCACCGCGTTATCCTCGTAACTGTTATCACGGAATCCTTGGGCGGAACTTAAGCCGGGCGAGTAAAGCGGCCCTAAGCTACTTGGCTTGCCGGGAAACGAAACAGCTCTGGTTTCTAAGTCGTAGGAATTCTGCGCCGCGATAGCGGAACTGAGCAACCCTAGAAGCACCCAATACATCCTGCAAAACACAGAAGAACAAATCAGTCGACGGAGAAAATGTTAACGTTTGTCTAACAATAAGTAATTAAGCAGGTCGACTGCCGAGAGAGATCCATTTTATATTGAACTTTCTACATTGCATTTGTTTTTGTTAATTTGATAAACATTTTTAGTTGCGACTTTTTTATCATATCCCGCTAGCTCCTGTAAAAACTTGAGAGAAACTTCCCCACTCGCCGCCTTTCTTTATTATAATTTATAACACCGATTTATACTGATTTATGACACGAACCGATGCATTTCCACAATCGAATCTCGTCCGTGCGCCACTTCGAATTGGAATGACAGTTTAAACGGCGGCTTTCGATTTCGCGGTCTTTCGATACAAACGGCTGCATTTTGAGGATATCGATGGCCAAGATCACTTTCTCTCGCGTGTACACGTGCGTGCGTGCGTACGTGCGTACGAATTTAATAGACGTCGATTTGCGAGAAAGTACGGTTGCGATTTCTCAAATAAACGTTCTTTTGCCGCTGTAATGGCACCGGTGTACGATTACAATCCAATTCGATACCTCGGTTTAAACTACCAGGTTCGTTGCCCGAGAGAGTCCTTTTCGACAAGGTTTTCCCTTTCGTCGCAGACCCCGGTAATCTAAAAGTCAAGAGACGCACTAGTATTTCGATAGAAATTGTGAACAAAAAAGAGAAACCTCACCAAATGCCTTATCTGGAACATTCACGTCTAAACTTGCTACAAAATTGATATTAAACTAAAACTAAAGCATATCAAAAGGGACATTGCTAAATAAATTATCTGGAGTAGTTTGCTTGCTAAAAAAATAAAATATACCCAATTAAAAATTAAAAATACTAACATAAATAAAATACTTTAAGAGTATTAAAACTGTGATAAAAATCTAATAGTACTTTTTCTCTGTCGAGGCATACTTTTGGTTGCGACCAATCCAAGTAAAATCGATGCCATCAACCCTGAGATCTTAAAATCTATATACTATAATTTTTTCCGGAGTAGACGTGCGATAACAATTTCAATTTTTATGTATTTGATACACGTTTTTTTTTACCTTTCCCTTTGAACTTTTAGAAGAAACTGCGGAACGTGTAAACGTACGAACTTCAAGAAGCTAAACTGGGACATTTGAAGATGTGAGGACATAAATGAAAGAGGAATGGAATCTTCAAAAACCTAAGTTGAGAGATCGAATGTATTGACAACGAAACAGGTGAGAATTTACAAACTTGTTGAACGCTAAGCGTCCAATGACGCGAACAAAAGTCCTCGATATCATTTATTATCGTCTCTCGTTTTCTTGTCACTTAGCTCGAGCGCTGGAGCAATTAGAAACTAGCTTTCCAGGTGCATGTATGCCACATGCCACGTTCGAGAATTATTATGGAAAGCACTCGAGTCCGTTGAGCACGTCATCGTCATGACCGAAATGGCTTCAACCGATCGTGAAACCATCGTCCGAGTTTTGCACACATAGAAAGTAACACGCTTTCCTCGCGCTTGCTCCTCGCAAGATCGATTCTCGTTGCTCCTATTCACAAACCTCACCACCGATCCCTGCCTGGCCGTCGAGCAAGTTTCCTTTCGCCTTGAAATCGCTTTCGGTATTTTTTATGTACAATTTTTTCTTACAAACACACATCGTCTAGTATACGTGAAACGTAAATTGAGTTCAGTCCACATTTTCTTATCTTGGAGAATAATTTAATTGTAAAAGGAGAATTGCTCGTGTCCGTTTCATCATACCAATGTGGGATTAACTTCGATCTCGGTTTACTTTACGTTTTTCGTCCTAATAATTAGAAGAAGGTAAAAAGTAAGTTTAATTAAGATTAAAGTCCGCTGGTAAAAACAGATAAAAAAAATATAAAATGTTAAAAAGATAAGATTTACGTTCCGTTTAATTTCGAATATGCAAAGCGTAAAAAAAAACGCAAATAAAAGCGACAGATTTGTTGTACTCGTGACGTAACGTAAGTCTTGACTTGGCAAATATTTAATGAAATAGTAGTTAAGGTCACGCGTGTATTTTCCTCAAGACGAATTTTAGGGTAAATTCGATATTTCTTGTCAGCATTCATTTCAAGAATCGCGAAATATACATATAATATGTATATCTTAAAAGTAAAATAAAAGTTCATGATATCGTGCGAATAAAATTACGTTTCCAATTGTAAAGGAAACGACAATTTCGCGAGGAACTAATCGTAGTAAGCCAATGTAAGCGTATCGAAAGGGCACTATTAGTTACATAAGAAAATATAGGTCAAAGGTAAATCCACCATTTTCCACGTAATAAGACTTGCATAACGTAATTTTTCTGCGGACTCGGACTCGTCGTTCGCTTCACTATAGATTAATGTCACACGATCAACAGATTGCAAATCATCATTACGTAGATAAATCATTCCTGTTCAACAAGTCTAATTCTAATTAGACTCGTTGAACTAATTAGACCTACTGATTGAACAAGCAACATTTTCATTTCTTGACTTGCATAAATTACAAGATACTTGTTAAACACATTTGAAAAGTATTAATTACACATTTAAAGAAATTTATGTTATCAATGTGATTATTTTCTCGCGACATTACGACTCGTCACGTTACTTCGGATCTCATAATTTTATGTTCACAGTAATTTCATGATTTTCTGTAAATGATACAGATTACGTAATTAAACGTTATGTGAACGATAGTGAAATAATCATAAACTTGCAACTTAAGCATAGTGCATTTGGATTTTTATTAAGTCTACAACTTGGACAAATTAAATATTTTTGACTTTTCAATATATTTGATTGAAAGACATTTCTTTCTTTATGATTGTTAATTACCTTCAAGTGTACGAGCTACACTTACATTAAAATTAAGTTGCACTCTTCGATAAAGCTTCAATGTTTTAGTTCGGAAAAACTTTTACTATCAACGTTCGAAAATTGCTTATTGTTAGAAGTGGTACACAGTTGAAAAATTTGTGTTAAATTTAACAGATATCACATATCTCAAACGGCCCACACAAATTTTTGTGTTAATTTAACACAATATGGATATGCTAAATAATCACACTAACACTCTGTTAACATTTAAACACAAAATAAATGTAAATCTTAAAAGAATTTGAACTAAATTTTGTGTAAAATTAACATATTTTTAATGACAAAATGAATTTAAAAAATGTAATTTTTCTATTTTACAGATGTAATAAGTCAAATGACGGTCATATAGAATAAAATCAACATTTTATTCTGTAAATTTTAACAGATAAATCTTATGATTAAAAAATAAGTACACATTGTGTTGTTTTAACATTTCTTTTCAGTTACTGTAATAATTTTACATTTGTCGTCAATTAACACAAGAGCAGTATGTTAAATTAACACACGAATGTGTTAAACATTTAACACAAAAATTGTAACTGGCATTTTCTTTAACAAGAAGACACAAATTTTTCAACTGTGCATGTACAGTATGTTGTACACTAGGAATCACCGATGTCTTCCCATATGAATGTAGACACATGTAGAACACATACACATTTTCCATGTATGGTTTTGTATAAACTTGTTAATATGTGCCTAAATTCATATGGGAAGGCACCAGTGATTTCTAGTGCACACTGAAGAGTGTGTTTGCGCGCGCGCGAGTACGTGTATGCGTGTCGTATTTAATGAAAATCCTGTACCGGTGTTTTTCCAGCCATGCCCCCCCGGTTAAAATCCGAGCAAAGTGAAAGTGAGAGGAGTTGTGTGTAAAAATGGCATGTAACGTGTTCGACGAGGCACATGAGACATAATATTACATCGAAGTTCAATTCACATCTCCATAAACGACACAATGGTCGGAATGATGCCAAAGATTATGAAACGGAGAGATGTAAATTTTATACGGTTTATCAAGGTCATGGCCACTAGTAGACGCGATTAAATTAAAATTTTCCTTATGAATTATTGAGACACTTTAGGTGCTCTCTTTAAATTAGAAGAACTACGTAGAGAGCATAAGAAATTGAAAGAATAATTAAAACACACCCCATTTTATTAGACGTTTTTATTCTGATCTATCAATACCGTCTCTTAATGTAGATATACTTATAAAAAACAATATATAAATAAAATTATTCGGATACAAGTGCATAAAAATTTCCAGTTTTACCTTCATTAAAAATTTCATTGTGTTTTAATAACGGAATTTTATTGTGGCCTGCGTCTTTTATATTTGCGTAGTTTAAACGTATACAAAGTATATAGATTCAGCTCCCCTCGAAATCCGATCGTCAATGTTTTAACGACCGGGCGTTGATTCCAGCTAATAGTTTTTGCTTGTTCGATCGGTTTCTCCAATTTCGTCATTAGGAAAATCTCGAAAACTTTCTCCGCCAAGCAGATCGCACGAACGATTATTACTATTGATATAATCTCCAGCAACGGCGCGTAATAATCTTTTTATAACAAAGTCCCCATAACATATTCACGTGTGTGCACCAGAAGGGCGTTCTCCTCGGCGGCAACTGACTTCCCGCCTGCCGCGCAAAGAAAGCAATATATTGCATAATGGAAAAAGAGATAGTTGCCCGGTAACTATCAAAGGCGGCTGTATAGTGTAATACGCATAACTCGACCGGTTGCCTTAAGGAAATCTCAAATAGCTGCCGTCGGGCACCATTTTTGCCAGAATTCCTCGTTAAATGCGACACGCCACTCAATTCGCTCCCCATCGTCACTTATCTCGTCTCCTCGTCGAAATAATAACGATTTCATTTGATTGTTGTGCGATGTTACGGGTATTAACGAAATCCATTAAGTCGATTAAATCTTAATTTAGAGAAATGTGATAATTAATCCGATTTCAATAAAGAAATCGTATAATCGTGACTGAGAAATGAGATAATAATTTCATCTGTCGATAATTAAAAGTCGATTTTATTCTAATAAAGATTGATCATTTAGTTTCGCAAAAATATATTATAAATCAATAATTCTGAATTAATATTTATATTGTATATATATAATTTTTTAAATTAAACTAAGATTTGAGTACATTGACATTTACGATTAAAATTAGTTTCACCTGTTAGCTTGTTCAAACTAAAACCACGAATGAAGAGGGATAGTGGAAAGAGAAAGAGAAAGGAGGGGGAGGGAGGGAGGGAGGGGAGAGAGAAAGAGAGAGAGAGAGGAGGGGGGAGAGAGAGAGAGAGAGAGAGAGAGAGAGAGAGAGAGAGAGAGAGAGAGAGAGAGAGAGAGAGAGAGAGAGA